AATGTTTCTTGTATATTTTAGATATGCCTCTCTTAAACAGCATAAGTATAGATTTCTTTTTACATTTAGTCTGACAGTTTCAATCTTTTAAGTTTATATTTAACCATGACTGTAATTACTGATACATTGGAATTCTCCTATTTTTGTGCTTTTCATTTATCTGTCATACTAGGCTAAGTGTTTCTTCTTTGGCCTTACTTTATAAACCAAATCATTTTCTTTTCTCCTCCAGTAGAAGAGTGAAATATTCTATTTCTGACCCTTTGTGGTTACGATAGGCATTTTGATATGCATATTTAATGTAATAAGTCAAAATTTAATCAATTTCTTTTTCAAATCAACCTTGAATTTAGACTAATTTAACTCTAATTATCTTCAACCCTCTCTTTGCCCCAAATATATTCCTGTAATGCCCAGGTTTGAATGCACCTTGATTTAATTACATGTTCATTATTTTTGATTGTTTAATTATTTTGATTAAATTATTTCATTTGATTATTTACTATTTTCTTTCTCTTTGATAAAGACATAAGAGTAGAATCCTTGCTCATAAGTTAGTATATGTTCAGCTTTATGGCGTACTACCTAACGTCTTTCCAGATTAACTGTATTTGTACTTTTCTCCACAAGCACAGCAATTTGGAGAGTTTTAGGTGCCCCACATCCTCATCAACATTTGGTGTTGTCCATTTTAATTTTAGCTACTTTAATGGATTTTCATTCTTTTCTCCGATAACTTATGATGTCAAGTAGCTTCTTTTTCTCCCATACTGCTGGTTTCTTAAGTTAATTATTCCCTGAAGTGTCCAAATTCCTTACCATTTCCTTAGTGGTTGATTTATCTTTTGGCGACTGATTTGTGGAAATTATTTATGTCTTCTGAATACAAGTCTTTTGTCAGATACATGCAATGTTTTTTCCCAGTCTGCTCTTTATTCTTCTTTCTCTTAATGGTATTTTTTACATTGATGAATTCAACTTATCAATTTTTCTTTTGTGTTTACTTCCTTATGTGTCCTTTCTGGGAAAAGTATTTAAACCTTCTTTATGGCTCAGCATATATTTTACCATGGTGAAATTTCATGTTTGGCATTTTTTACTGCCTCATTCAATCTCTATTCTTCTTCTAGAACCCCAATTGTATGTTATTTTACACTTAATATTGTGCTAGAGTTCAAAGTGGCTTGGTTTTTTCTAAATATCTTTTTTCCCCTTTATTTTCAGCTTTGACAATTTGACTTATTTATCTTCAAGTCTATAGACTATTGATTTAGCCATCTCCAACTGATGTTAAGAATATCTGTGATTTTTTAAAAAATTCAGATAGTTTCTAATGTTAGAATTTCCATTAGTTTATTTTTATTTTTATTTTTTCAGTGAAAGCAAGTTTATTAAGGAAAGCAAAGGAATAACAGAATAGCTACTCCATGGGCAGAACAGCCTAGTTTATTTTTATACTGTACACTTCTCTGCTGGGATTATCCCTCTCTTCACTAATTTATAACTATTTTCCCTTTATACCTTTGACTGTATTTGTAATAGTGGTGTTTGATTCTTTGTCTGCTAATTCCAACATGTTGATGATCTTAGCATCTGTTTCTATTGATGCTTGTTCTCCTGACTATGCATGCTATTTTACATTTCTTTGCGTATATAGTAATTTTGTATTGTATGCTAGGCTTTGGGGATGATGCATTCCGAAATGAGAGTGGCTTTTGTTATCTTTTGAAGATTATGTTTGGTCTAGTTGACAGTCACATCCAGGGCTGATCACCCTAAATTTATGGAGGTTTGGTTTTGTACTTTATTGGGGCAGGCTCTAAGCATGAACTTTGTAGAATTTTAGCAGGCACCCCAAAGTGTTTACTAAGCCCCTTTAATTTGAATGGAGTTAAAATCTAAATTCTGTTGTCCCCCGACGGGCAGCCATTGAAATCTTTGTCCAGTTTTTTTTTCATCCATCTAACTGTTGCCTTCAGCAGGGCATTTTGGTGTCTTTGGCATGCCTCTGCAGTTCACAGTTCAGCTGAATATTTATGGGGGTTTTATATGCAGACTTTTGTCCGCTCCCCACTGTGGCTCCTTCATTTCTGGGATTTCCCATCTCAATTCACAGCCACGTTGGCAGTGCCTCATTCTCTTCTCTGTTACCTAAAGCTGACAGGCCTGTGGTTTTCCACTTTCTCCGTAGCTGTCTGCATCACAAGTACCGGGAACACCAGTAGGGGAAATTTGTATAAATATGGTTCTAACTTAGTGCATTTCTCTCTTCAAGGGTTCCGCTTAACCATACATTTAGAAATCCTCCACAACTATCAAATTGTTTTCTTTTTAAAAAATTTCTCAGAGATTATAAGGTTAGTTTGATATAGGCTACTTTACCATTACAAGACTCAGAACAATCCAAACCATTATAGCTCACAAAATCTCTCTTGAGCTGTGTTTTATGGGTTGTTTTATCAATCTTTTAAGGTTTAATTTTTGCTTTTTATCTTTTTATTTCCATGCATTCTACTGGGCTGTTACTAATTTGGCTCATCAGTTTTAATGTTCTCTTGTTCTGTTGCCATATTGTCCATTCTTTTTTCTTTAAATACATTAAACCATCATTTTATTCAATAATCACATTGTTTTCCATATCTAATACATAAAAGAGTTTTTTACCTTTAATTTATGGTGGTTTATGTCTTTATGCTTATTTGAGATATTTTTATTGTAAACTCCCCACGCCTCGGGAAATTAATCTGTAGGAATTCATTGAGCATAGATCTTAAAGTACATGCCTACAGAGAATAATTTATTTTTTTCTACTGAAATATGGGGGGCATATCCAAAACTGGATTGCCTTGCATTAGTGTTTGACTTGATGTTTTATGGACCACACAATTAGTGCAAATGGAGACCCTAAACCATTTGTACATTTCCTTTTTTTTTTTTTTTAAAGTACTCAGTAGCATATTAAGACTGAGGCAGACAATTATACCACAGCTCCCTCTGCAGAGGTGCTTTCCTGGCTCACCTGCTGAAGATGTCAAACTTGCTGGGTTCTGACTTGTGCGCTTATCATTCATCCAACCCCCCTTATTGCTTGGAACCAGGATTTGTCTCATTTCCTGATGCTCAATAAAACCCTAGCTAATTCTCCCATCTTAACATCCATGAAGCCAACTATTAAAGAAAGAAGAAACGGTTAATATTTATCCATCTTTTTTTTTTTGAAATGCCATAAAAACTAAGTTATTCCAAAAATCTGTTTCACAATTTTGCTGGAAATGGAAGTTTTCCTGTCAGCTTTTGTTTCATTTATGTCAAGGCTGGGTTTTTAAATACATAAAATTTTGTTTTTTAAAATGTTCTTTGAGAATTTTTTCATCACCAATATACAATATCCTTCCTTGTGCATTACATTGCTATTTAGTTTGTATTCTACTTTGCCTCATACAAATTTTGATACACCTATCTTCTTTTTCTTAGCATTTTCTTAGTATTTTGTTTATAAACTTTTCATCCTTTCTATATCATTTTAAGTGTGTTTTATATTGAGTAAAAAATCAATGAATTTGTATTCTGTTCACAAGAACCCCTCTGTTATTTAACAGATAAATTTGGACACCTTCATGATTACTGAGAATATTAATATTTTGGGTCATATTCTTGCTTCTTTGTTTTGTGCCTTCTTATTCTCAGGCTTCCCAGTTACTTATTTTTCACTTTTATATTATTACCCCTGGCTGTATAACAATATTGCCGTACTTAATGCCTATGACAGCACACAATAGTTTTCTCAGTATCTGTGGTCAGGAGTCCAGACACAGCTTAGGTGGCTTCCCTGCTTCACAGCCTCACAAGGCTTATATCAGGATGCCAGCCAGGACTGTGGCCTTGTCTTAGGCCTGGGTAGGGAAGCATCTGATTCCATGTTTGTGTGGCTAGAGGCGGCATTTACTTTCCGGTGGTTTCTTGGGCTCAGGGGCTCCATCTCTTGTTGGCTGGGGGTCACCTTTCTTCCCATATGGGTTCTCTGTATGACATTACACAACATGGTATCTTGCTTCTGCAAAGCCAGCAAGGGAGTGGGTGTACTGCCAAGACTAATGCTGCAATTTCAGGTAATGCAAGCACGCATACATCTGTCACCTTTTCCATGTTCTATTGGTTAGAAGGAAACCATAGGCTCTATTCGTACTCAAGGAGAAAGTGTATCAGTCTGTTCTCAAGCTGCTAATAAAGACATACCCTAGACTGGGTAATTTACAAAGAAAAGAGATTTAATTGACTCACAGCTCCACATAGCTGGGGAGTCCTCACAATCATGGCTGGAGGAGAATGAGGAGCAAAGTCATGTCTTAGATGGTGGCAGGCAAGAGCTTGCACAAGGGAACCCCTGCTTATAGTAAAACCATCAGATATAGTGAGACTTATTCACTATCACAAGAACAGTATGGGGGAACTGCCTCCATGATTCAGTTCCTCCACCTGGGCCGCCATTGACACATGGGAACTATTAGAATTCAAGGTGAGATTTGGGTGCAGACACAGCCAAACCATATCAGAAGGCATCACACAAGTGTGTAAGTACCAGGAGGTAAGAATCCTGGGGCCACCTTCAAGTCCGTCTACCACATTTCCCGTATCCTTTTTAGGACTGATATTTTTCCTGTCACATTTTTAATGGTATGAAAGTTATTTACACGTTAATGCCTCTATTTACACCTCTGTTTTCCCAATAAGGTCTAGCGCTGATCAGATTATATATTCTTCTCTTGAATAAACCAATAACCTTAGCAAGCTTGGAGTTTCCTTCTCACCTGTGATTTGCCTGATACACTGGTTTTTATCCCAAGAAAATTTTTACTCTGCATGATTCCTATTTGACTTTTTACATCAGTTATTCTCCCTCCCATCTCTCTATGATGCTACTTACCTTTACGCTCTGCTTTGCTCTTTGATATTGTGTTATTCAGCCTTCGGAGTTAGTATTTCATGGTGGTTCACCCTGTCAGTGCTAAGTGAATCTCAGTAATGCACTAAGTGTTTTCTGTCAGGCTCCAGGTCTGCACAGCCTGGCTGGAAGGAGCAATGGGGTGTGCTAGAGTGGTTCATTCTCTCTTCTGGCAATGATGCTGTATGAGGCTATTGTTGCATTGCTGTAAAGAAACACCTGAGTATAAAGAAAAGAGGATTAATTGGCTCCGAGTTCTATAGGATGTGTGGTGCTGGCATCTGCTTGGCTTCCGGGGAGGCCTCAGGAAACTGACAATCACGGTGGAAGGCAAAGGGGGAGCAGGCATCTCGCATGGCCGGAGTGGGAACAAGAGAGAGAGTGGGAGCTGCCACGCACTTTTAAACCACCAGCTCTCATGAGAACTCACTCACTATCATGATGACAGTACCAAGGAGGAATGGTGTCAAACCATTCATGAGAAACCACACCCATGGTCCAATAACCTCCCACCAGGCCTCACTTCCAACACTGGGGATCACAATTCAGTATGAGATTTTGGCAGGGACGCAGTTCCAAACCATATCAGGTGTACATAGACATACAGTACACATTGTGAGCCATGACAAACACATGTATATGTCTGTGCTTATTTATGAAACAAATAGATTACTTACTAAACATGTATTTATCCTCCTGTGAAATTTAATATTAATCCTCTTGTGAAATGAACTCTGGTTCATTTCATTCTGCTCAACTGCATTGCACTTTTTTCACACATGAGTTAAGTATGTTTTTGATTTCCACACACCAAAATGCATCTCAAATGTGGTGGTTGATAAACACTATTGTAGGCCATTTTCAGTAAAATGAAGGAAGAGGATGGACAAGCTATGAAGTGGGGAGTATCAAGAGCTAGTTTTCAGCACGTGGGCACCCCTCTCTCCTGATCACCCCCAGCCATTTGTACGCACTGCTCCATCTCTCTGCATAACACCCTGCCTAATTTTACTTAAAAGACACACCGCTCTGTTGTTTCTGCCTAGGCATAGAAGGGAAAAAGGAGTTACAGAGGAATCAAATGCATGGCTGCCCTGGCTGTAGTGTCCTCACCAACAGCTTTCAATTTACCCTGACCCCTCTTCTCTGTCTGTCTCCTATCAGAAAGTGAAGCGCTGCGGGCTTGCTCCCACCTTTATGGCTGTGCTGCCTTTGCACGTTTGACGATGTCCTTGCATCTTCAACCTGCTCTCATTCACTTCTGTTTCAGAAGCTACTAGTAATGACGGTTCTACTAAGAATTCTCCTTTGGATTTTCCGGTGTTAAACTGTATTTATTTATGTCTGTTATGCCATTTCTGGGGCTTGAGGCAGGATGGGTAGCTCTAATGTGTTCAGTTTACTCCCTTGAACTAGAAAACTGGGCTATGTTTGCCAGGAAGCATTGCCGTCAACCAGAGTTTTTGCTGGTTTAAGGAGTATGCCAGTCTTTTATGATATCACTAATGGAAGCTTCTATTAAGGAAATACCTCTGTGATTTGTGCTAGGCCTGGATGGAAGGCCATCCTATCAGAGGTTGGAAGTATGCTGGGAGAGACAGTGCCGATAGATAGAGTCAAAGTGCAGCTCAGGAAAGGAACTCCTTAATCTATGGGTCTCAGTGGACACAGCAGAATCATGCATTCAAATTCAACTTAACAAGAAAACACTGTTTGCTAACTTTTAAAAAAGTAGCTGGGCCGGGTGCAGTGGCTCACACCTGTCATTCTAGCACTTTGGGAGGCCTAGGCAGGCGGATCACCTGAGGTTGGGAGTTCAAGACCAGCTTGACCAACATGGAGAAACCCTGTCTCCACTAAAAATACAAAATTAGCTGGGTGTGGTGACTCATGCCTGTAATCCCAGCTACTCAGGAGGCTGAAGCAGGACAGTTGCTTGAACCCAGGAGGCATAGATTGTGGTGAGTCAAGATTATGTCATTGCACTCCAGCCTGGGCAAGAAGAGCAAAACCCTATCTCAAACAACAACAGAAAAGTTATCCCTTTTCAAGGTGATTTTGTCTATTAAGCTCCTTGCTTTTCCATACTGATAAGGGAGCTGGGACACTTTTTTTTTTCTGTTTTTATTTCTTTGCTTGTCTCTACTTTTTTTCCCTTGAAAATTGGACATTTAAAATAATCTACTGTGTCAACTTTGGAAGTCAGATTCCCCCCTACTTTTTAGTGTTTGCTGTTGTTCATTTAGCAAATTTGTACATTAATTCTGAAAAGTCTCCGTTCTTTTTCACATGCGGTCGTGAAGGCTTTTGTTAGCTTAGCGATCACCTAGTGATTAGACAGATTTCTAGTCTTATTGACCTGGAACCAATAGGACTCGCAAGTCTGCCAGTGTGCTTATGTATGTGTTGGGGCACACCTCAACACTCAGCCAGACATTTGACAACTCTGCCTTAGCCCTCTCTTCCTGTTTACTAAGTGCCTCAAGGTCAGACAGGGATGAGAGCTTAAAGTCTTCCATTGTTCTTTACCATTACCTGCGTCTCTGCATATGTACTTGACCTTCTAGGTTCAAAAAAAAAAAATGTGTTGGAACTTTTCAACATTCCTATGGAAACTTCATTTCCTAGCCTTACCTTTTAAGTTTTTGGTTAGTCCAGTGTTTCTCCCAGCTGTTATGTAGTGCCATAGGTGACTCAGAAGTTAAACAATTGCCTCAATACTTTCTGCACTGGGCAAGCACCAAATCACGTCATATAAACACAGCCTTGTGAGCGGGCTTTTTCAGGGACTATCAAGCAGGTCAGATCATGACAATTCTCTGGAAATGAGGTACCTCAGACTGCTCTTTCCACTCCAGTGGCAGCTAAGTTGCTGGATTTCGCTGTGTTTGCAGACAGCTGCTTATAAAGCCTACCACAGAACTAGGGATAGGGTTGAGGATGGAAACAGGAAAAGTTAAAACACCGCAAGGTCACTGGTCTTACCAAAATGTGACTGTTTTTCTGGAGTAAATGTTCTCCAGATTTGTATGAGGCTTTGGTTAAATTTCATATTTCTGAAAAGTCGATTCTCACAATTTTTGTCAGTTTTTCAATGACTTTTAAGAAGAGGAAATGTCCAGAGGTTTTTCCTCAACCATTTTTATTGACATCCTATTAACTTTTATTTAATTCATAATGTTATGTACAAAAAATATTTAGTACACATCTCAGACATTGGCTATGATCAAGAGAATAGCTTAGTCCTAAGCATAACTGTGAGTTAAGAGGAATTCTTCACTATGGGATTTCATATGTGGTCCTGCCTCATGGGGCAGTTTACTGAGTTTGTTACTTACCTCTGAGCCCCCCTCTAAGCATATCTCCCCCATGTCCCATTCTCAAGGGACCTGTTTGCTAACTTACCAGATAATTAATTTAGGGTCAAGTGCTAATGACTCATAACGGCATAATATATAATCATCCAAATCACATTTTTGTGATAACCAAGGGCTCTGTATCTTAATCCAAAATGGTAAGCAATGTGAAGATTATTGGCTCCTTAAGAAGCTCAATCTCTCATACATAGAATGAGCCCTGAACCAGATTCTTAGCCCAAGACAAGTAAGGGTGATTCATGGAGTTAGAATTTCTTTCACTGAAAATGCCAAAATGTCTGAATAATATTGGATATCCTATCACTTCTAATTTATTGTCTCTGATTACTTTGCAAGTATACAAAATATTGGTGAAAATGATCATTGATATGAAAATCAAATGCTCCAAATTCATTTTTTTCTATCACAAAGAAATCTTTACAAGTGGAAATAATTTGTATCTTCACAAGGCCACATTTTTAGGTCACAATCTGGATTAAAGATTTTATCTAACATTTTTAAGCATTTCTCTTTGCAAAAAGGTTAAGCACAATATTAATAGTTATTTAGAAAATATTGGTTATAACTCTAATCTATACTTACTAATATGTGTCTTAGAACTCAGAGGTTCTCTCTCTCTCTCTTTCTCAGAATGTGTATATAAAATTGCTGGTGCTAGTTGCCATGGTCAACATTTAAAGTGCTAAGCACAACACAAAATCTAAAATTCTCTCAGAAAGAAGCTATTTCTACCACTTGAAAAATGTCCTCTCTGCCCAGACCCTGCTTACAGCTTTCTGGCATGTGACTTAGGAACAAAGCCATGATTCTTTTACCGGAGAAGGTTTGGGGATATACTTTGAATGTTAAGTTATTTAGGATGATGTTTTTCTCCTTTGATGCCAGCTGCCACTGTTCATGCAGGATTGAAATATCACTTAAACTAAAGCAGAGGCAAAATAGATATTATATCTAGACTAAGTATCATGCTTAGAATATAAACACATATCTACAGTGCTTTTTTATAAAGATAAAGCTATGGATATTTTAGCAATGTTTGGTTTTTCTGATAGAATTCAGATTCGATCTGCATAGTACTAAATCCTCTTTAAGAACAACACCACATACTTGGGTTTTGTGATAATTTGTATATGATCAGGGTTAAGTTGTCCTTTTCATAAATGAAGAACAGGTTGAAGAAATTAATTGTATAAAAATGTTATAAGTGGAGTTCTGAGTTGACTCCAGTTTTCTCTAGCTCTAAATTGGTGATGATGTGATCTTTTTTCAAGCACCATTTACATACTGATGTGCTTGTTACATTTCATTCTAATTAGTCATTAACATATGTCTTCTAAGGACAGTTGAGAAAGCATTCTGTTACCAGAATTTGTTATGAGTTTTTTGGGTTTTTTTTGCTTTTTCTCATTTCTCTTTCACCTTCTTTGTTAAAAATAAGATACTTTTCTTTGCAGTTATTTGAAAGAGGCTCAGTTGAGTTAGAGTAAACTGATTAATTGTAGATGCATAGCAACCATAACTAGTTTTTGAGGGAGGCATGGCACAAATGAGTGTATCCACCAGAAACAAGGTTCTCCTTCCCTGAATCAGTCACCCAGGGGACTGGTTCTGCTGGGGTACTGTGACGGGAACAGTTTTCAGTGTGTCAGGTAATTCAGAGATGCTAGTAACAGTGTAAACCCTTGTTTCTCCGGGGAAGATCTGGACCTGGCTCAAGACAAGACTCCTGTTCTTGACTTCCCTCCTTCCCAGGTCTTCTCGGACTCTCAGCCCAGGGAGGATGCTGTCCTCCCGCTCTGCATCGCTGAGATCACACATGAGGCTGCGGATGCTTGTGCAACTCATGTGTCGGGCATTTTCAAAACCAGTGGCTTCTTGTGAAAGGTGATTCGCAAGTATGTTTTCAGCTTGCTGTGTGAGCAATTAAATCCACCATTCTCATCCACAGTAAAAACTCTCCAAATGCAACTTCACAGACCTTTTTTTTTCTTTCAGCTTTAAGTAGAGATGTTTAATGAAGATGAGATTTTTATTTCCTTTTCCATCTATTGGAGCTACTTCATGTGAGGGAGAGAGAACGTGGCTCAATATGACGGAGTTAATGGAGGCAGTATATAATTATCATTATCTGCTACAATTAAGGCAGCATCATGCTGTGTTGTAACAGTTTATTGTGGTGTGTGGTGATGCAGTAAAATGATATTTATCCCCCCATGACTGCTTTACCATTCAGAAATCCATAACTGTATAAATGTATTCTGTGGCTGTAGAGCATATGTCTTCAGCACTTCCCTATTAGGCTGGGTCTTTAAATTCAGAATGTGGCCCATGAAATGAGAATAAGCTCACAGAACAGATCAGAAAGTAAAAAACTGTTCAAGAGCAATGATGATTAAAACATTCCCCTGTGCAATAAGGGTGTGGGGATCTATTGGTAAAAGACCAGGACCCTGAGGCAGGGCTGAATAAGATGGGGAGGGCTGCATTGCACCACACATTGGAGAAGAGGGACACTCATTTCAAGAAAGGATAGGGGCTTGGCTGGGCAACACATGCATCCAAGACTCAAGACACACATTCTAAGTTTCTCTCAAGCTGGAGTCAGGAGGCTGGCATGCAAAGAGGACAACATAAGGCCAGTTATCACATGGCAATGATGGTGGCGAAGAACCACGTGTTCCATGAGAGGTGGCTGTCTATACCACATTGTGCAGAAAAAAAACTTGAGTGAGACATGAGAGCTGAAATCAGTGTTCTCAGCTGGAGAGGACAGAAACTAAGACAACTAAGTGGCACTTGAGTTTTGGCTTTGCCAGAGCAACTAGTGTGGCCATAATTCTGTTTACTATCTGTGGCATAAAGACATGATGGTACCCACTGCATAGGGCTGTGGCCAAGTGTATTAGTCCGTTCCCATGCTGCTATGAAGAAATCGCCAGGCTGGGTAATTTATAAAGAAAAGAGATTTAATTGACTCACAGTTCTGCATGGCTGGGGAGGCCTCAGGGAACTTATGGTCATGGCACCTCTTCACAGAATGGCAGGAGACAGAATGAGTGCCAACAGGGGGAAATGCCAGACACTTACAAAACCATCAGACCTCATGAGAACTCACTCGCTATTGTGAGAACAGCCGGGGGGAACCGCCCCCATGGTCCAATGACCACCACTTGGTCCTGCCTTTGACACATGGGAATTATTACAACTCAAGGTGAGATGTGGGTGGGAAGGCAGAGGCAAACCTTATCGCTCAGGTTCCCTCTAACTAATGTGTAAAAAGGCCTCAGGGCAATGTTTATAACGTAGCTATCACTCAAGAAATGTTGCTGTTATTATGATCATTTTCATCATACAGTTATTATTCTGGGACAGCCAAAGCCTGCACCATCTATTCCAGCATATTTCATGTTTTAAAAGTAGACCACTGTTTCATTCGAAAGGAATGACTTGCCAAGATTTAAATTTCAAGTACTTTGACACCTAGGGGGATTTCCACCATGTTGAGGCTGTAGGGGGTACAAGGCCCCTCCTTTCTGGTGCCTCTCCACCCTGCTCAGTGCCCCAGGAGGCCGACTGGCGGAAACTCCCTTGCCCGGTGGTGTCTGACTGTGTTTGGCCAGTGGGAGGCACTGGCAGGAGTTGGAGGACAGAGAGAAGTGAGGCCAGAGCATTTGCACCCCACCTCCCTGCCCACCCATTCCCTGAGCTGAAGCTAGAGCTTCCGCCAGCCTGCCTCGCCATTCAGCCACCCCTCCCAAGTTGCAGGGCCTGCTTTCCTTTTGCATCTTCCTCAAGCCTGGAAGGGGGAATGACTTCCCAATTACTCTAGTTACTAGCCCTGGGTACTACACTATCCTTGGGTGGTTTCCCTAAATGTTGTCCATGGCTTCAAAAAAAAAAAGAAAAAAAGTCCCTGTATTAAACTTTCCTTCACTTCACAGTGTGAATATGCTTTCTGCCTCCTGCCGTGGGTACTTCCTGTTGTCCTTTACATCACACCCGTATAATTGTTTCCGTGACTTCAAAACTATTTATAGCATACTTTCCCTCATCCTTTTCTGTGCTCACCAACTAAAATCGCTTACATTTTAACCTTTGTCATAGAGACACACCAATATACACCTAGTCCATAAACAAAGCAGGGAGAGACAAATTAATTCTCTGTGCCGACGGATATGTTAATTTTTAAAAGCATTACTGAGATGCTTAGTAAAGTAGCAGGTGTTATGAAATTGCATTTTTATTACCTTCCCCATATCAGGCAAGGAAATTATGGTCTCTTCAGCGATTTCACCATTTGCTAAATGTTCCTAGTCAGTTATCACAGATAATGCTTGTTTTTAAATCCTATTTATGCAATTAGAAACTTTTAGGTTAATTAATTTTGTACATTAGAAGACAGGACTTTAATATAAATTTAAGGCAATGGGTTTAATATTGTTAATAGTAATAGTTATCACAAACCATAAACTTAATTTATATGCATGAAAATAGAGTCTCTGCTGTAAAAATATTGAAAATTAAAATAGCACAACTTTCAGCCTTAAAATGAAAACTTTCTGCATAGCGACACTCTCTAAGTAAGACATAGTTGGCCAATGACTTAATATAAATAAATGGCAATTCTTGATTCAGTCATATCATTCTTCTCTAATGCATGTACCATATCCAAAATAGGCATATGTTTCCAAAAATTGTACTATCATATATGATGAGAAAGGAAGTTATGATCAAGGGTAAATAGGAGTGGGAGAACAAAGAAGCCAGGAATTGGATTTAAAATTAATGTACACGCCCAGAAGGCCTCTACAATGGGCTACGCGTCCTTCCTTTCTTAACAAATTCGATGGTACAATTTTTTGAAAGATGTAAGGGAAATGCAGTTGGCTACCCTATGTTTATTGTCTATAAGAAGAAAATAACCAGCTAGTCATGTAATGCAAATTTCTTCCCAGCACCACGAAAAAGAGATATTTACTCATTAATGAGACACTGTGGCAACGGAAGGAAAACCAAGCTTCATGAGAGCATTCATCTGCTTTCCTAAGATTATTTTATTTATTGAGCTCCTCAATGTAGACAGATGGCATAACCCAAAAGGCAATTTGGTGGTAGCAGTTCTTTGGGAGAAAAAGCTCAGAATGTTGCAATCCAGGTAAACCGCTCTGATGATGTCTCTAATGATAACAGCTGTCAGTTAACTGATATTCACCAATTTTTGTTGCGATGGCAGAGAATATGGATCTCTCAAGAAAGTCCTAAGGACAGAAACAGCAAAAAGTCCTTAGGAATTACATGTGGAAGGTGATAGATTGAGCCAGCAGGTCCTGACTCCAGGTTCCCATAGGCAGCATGTGGCTCCATATGGACTTGAGGAAAACAGGGGAGAGGAAAGACGAAGACGCACACACGTTTGTAAAAACCCGGATGTAACTATCACAAATATAGCTGGAGAGGAGGAACTGAGATTTTAAAAACATGAGAAAAGAAAGGGAAAAAGAGCCTCTGTGCCCATTAATAATAACTACCACTGTGCCACCAAAGGTCAGAGAATGCAAATGGCTGTGATCATCTGCCCGCTGCCATTGACTGGCCTGTCAGCAGCAAATTCAGGTCTGATGCCAGGTTCCACTCCCACATTGCAGCTCCACATTTTTGGGTTATTTGACTCTCAGCTTGGACAACACCTGCTGTGGTTACTTACTGTGCCTTCACGTCACCCAGAGTGAGCTGATGTTACGGAACAGCCTCTGCCAGTTCTCACCTAAACTCTGGGTTTTGTTTTCTAGTTTTTGTTTCATTTTGTTTCAGTCATTGTACCTAAATCATGCCCAAACATTGTTCTCCTAGTAGGCAGATTATTTTTTCTTCTAGATGAAATTAAAGATACAGACTCGGCGCTTGCCAGTAAAAAAACAAGCTAGATTTGGTGGCCTTAATAGTATTTTTTTTTATATTTTAGGTTTCTCCAATGATTTAAACAAAAGTACATTTTAATACATTGAAATATTTGAAATATAGTCATAAAAATTATACATTAAGTAATTGAGAACTACACAATAAATCGGTAACATATAATATTATTTAAAGCACATATCATCAAGGGTCAGCTTCCTTAATGCAAAAAAAAAAATCATGCAAATCAATATGTGAGAAAAGAAACAGGCCAACAGGAAAAATAGACAAATATCATGAGCGACAGTTTATAGGAAAAATTATATATAAGATACATATATCTGAAAATATATTAGTTGAGTAATAGTCTGTCTTAAATCTTTTATTTCTACTTGAAACCTAAATATATACTTGGTAACCTATCTTTTGACATAATCCGTTTTTTATGTCTTCTTTATATATAACTCTACTCATCATATATTACCTTTTATTTACAATTTTGATTTCATCAAAGCATAGCAAAACTTAAAAACCTTCTAAGTGCAAAATCTCTCTAGATTTTTTCTGTTTTCCCTTAGTCTTTGCTTAACGACTTTGCTCAGATATAATTTTCACACCATAAAGTCCACTCATTCAAAATGTATCATCATCCAGCCTGAGCAATTATAAGACTCCTATCTCTAAAGAAATTTAAATGAAAAAATAAAATAAATAAAACATGGAACTCAGTGATTTTTTTAGTATGCTTATAGAGTTGTACACCCATCGACTGAATTTAATTTTAGAACATTTTTGTCACTCCAGAAAGAATCCTTATACCTATTGGCGGTCACTCCCCACACCCCTTCCTCCTGCTCCCCCAGTCCAAACAGCTGCTGCTTCCTGTCTGCGTAGATTTTCATTTCCCTATTCTGCACGTTTCAGTTAAAAGGAATCATGAATTATTTGGTCTTTTGTGATTGGCTTCTTTCACTTAGGATGAAATGTTTACAAAGTTCATCCACGTTGTGGCATGTATCAGTGTTTCATCCCCTTTGGTGGCTGAATAATCTTCCATTGCATGGATGTACCACATTTTGTTTATCTGTTCGTCAGTCAGTGGACATTTGAGCGACTTCCCCTTTTTGCCTATTGTAAGTAATGCGGCTGTAAACATTTGCGTGCAAGTGTTTATCTGGACATATGTCTTCACTCCTCTTGGGTATGTACTCGGGATTGACATTGCTGAGTCAAATGGTAACTCCATGTCTAACATTTTGAGGAACTGCCAGACCGTTTTTCACAGCAACTGCACCATCTTACAGTCCCACCAGCAATGTGTAGGTTCTAATTTCTCCACATCCTCTGTATCACCTGTTATTAGCTGACATTTTATTATAGCAATTTTAGTGCTTATGAAATGGTAACTTGTTTGAGTTGATACTCCCTTGTAAAAAAACAAGAGTCAAACTTACATTTAAAAAAAATATGTGCTTGGAGCATTTTTAACAAGGAAAAATAATGTATGTGGTATGCCCTCTTCAGCCCCAGACACGTGATGAAGCTTACAGCTCTGAACATGAAGGCTTTACTCTTCTTGATTACTGAGATGGATGGCAGTTTATCAACAATTATTCAGGTTTTTGCTCCTTTCTGTCAATTTAAATCACAGGCTCAGTGAAAAGAACCTTGGCAGAAGACAAGAGATCTTTGTGTCCCCAACCCTGTCCCTAAACTGTCTGTAAGACTTTCAGCCTCTGAAACTCATCAACAGTAGAAGATAGCTCGTCTCTGAAATTTCACAGTGGTGTTGTGAAGGTAAAGCAAACTAATGAATATGAACAAACTATGACAAACTTAAAGTTATTTACCTGTGTCTTACATGCGGTCGTTGTGTTTTACACACACACACACAAACACACATATATTATATATACAGGACTGAAAGAATAAAGAAAAGCCTTATTTTATGTAGGAAAATGGCAGAGACAACAGAGACAGCAGTATTTTTGGGCAAAAAGTTACAGAATAAGATGGAGCATACAGAAAAACAAGGTTACTCAATCAAAACAACAGCCATGGATTTTTTTTTTTTTTTGGGGACGGAGTTTCGCTTTTGTTACCCAGGCTGGAGTGCAATGGCGCGATCTCGGCTCACCGCAACCTCTGCCTCCTGGGTTCAGGCAATTCTCCTGCCTCAGCCTCCTGAGTAGCTGGGATTACAGGCACGTGCCACCATGCCCAGCTAATTTTTTGTATTTTTAGTAGAGACGGGGTTTCACCATGTTGACCAGGATGGTCTCGATCTCTTGACCTCGTGATCCACCCGCCTCGGCCTCCCAAAGTGCTGGGATTACAGGCTTGAGCCACCGCGCCTGGCCCATGGATATTTTTTGTTGACATATTAGGTTTGGGATTTATTCTTTAGATTTTAATGAAGATGGTTGTTTAATTGATATCCTTCTTGGCTGGAAATCATATTCTTGGCTTTCAGAATGTGAATAAAAGGGGCCCTAATTTTTTCCCCCTTTTTGTAATATAGTTGTCACCTAATAACTGCAGCTTGGGGTTTTAGCTACAGTGCAAGTGACATTTTAATAAATACAATTTGGTAATAATTAAATTATGTATAAAAATATATCACAAGTACCTCTTATTTAACTTTTACTTCTTTGCCAATATGTAAAGTGGTCAATAAGACTTCTATTCAAGAATAGTGTATTTTAGACTGTTTTGAGAGTCATTATTCTGTGGTTCAGTATGAGCTTGCTTTTTGCTAGAGTATGTACCTTTTCATCACTGTGACTTCATCAGGAGCAAGAATTTCATCCCTGCAACAAAGACCACTGTGAACATGGACTGCAGGGTGACAAAATCATCCTCACAATTTTTATGCTTTCTGAATTTATCTCGCAAATATCCACATTAACTGTACTAATATTCTTCCAGGCTGCAAAACTCATGCTGTTTTATTTCTGTCACTTGCCCTTTATTCTCTTTTTAATGGATCTACAGTTG